ATATATATATATATATATATAGCTAAACCTCATGTAAAATGGATATGATTAAAGTACTTAGACAAACATGAAAAGTGACAATAATGTGATTTATAATAATAATAGAAGCTTAAAATTGTAACCCGATAAAGTCAAGGATCCTATCATGGGTTAGCTCGATGTAAGTGTCCTTCTTACAATCGAGCTCTGATACCATTTTGTCGCGCCCCCCACACCGGTTTGGACGGGGATGCAACGCCAAGCAATAACAAGCAATAAATAACAACAAGAATAAAAATTAACAATTCAAACTTAGTCCGGTGATAATAAGTTTGATAGTTGGAATACAAGTCATACAACATGGTCTGAATAATAAAAATTACAAACTGGCAGCGGAATAGTCTCAAACAAAATAAGTACCAAATGACAATAGATAATACTTGGTCTTAATCTCATAATAACATTCCCAATAACTTAAGATCATGCTAATAAAAAAGGGGCCAGGATTCAATTGGCAAATTCTTCTCCAGAGTTGGTTTCTTCCACCATGGTTGGCTCCTCGTGTAGGGAGTTTTCAAAATAAAAAAATAGGTGCGGTGAGACAAAAATTCTCAGTGAGCGGGTGAGTGTGTGCAATGTGTGGCTGAATTTTCTTTATAAAAAAAAAAAAAAAAATTGTGATGCATGTTTTGAAACAATATTAGTTTGCAAATAATTCGTAATATATTGTAAGACAACACTCAAAACTTTGGATTGCTTATAATACAATTAGACCATTCACAAGTATAATATGGGTTGCCATGGAGAGATGTGTCGGCCTGCATGAGAATTGCCATGGAGATAGCGAAGAAGGCCCAAGCATCTGGGTCGACCCCGACTGAGAATGTGGCGCAGCCAGCCCCCAGCGCGGCGAGGGGAGGCCGAACCGGCCATCGTGGGGGCCGAGCCGGGGCGTGGTGTCGACGTCGGTCGCGGCGTCGGCCACTCTGGGTAACCATAGAGCCTCGAGTGGCGCGGAGCCGGGCTCGTGAAGAGGAGCTGGCATCGCCCATGAGGGACACTGTGGGTGCCGAGGAGGTCCTTGCCCATAATCCCGAGAAGAAGAAGAAAAAAATGGACGAAGGGGGTCCTTCCTTCGTTCCGGACCTGGTCCCCCCTAAGAGTCAGGCCGGCCCCTCAATATATTTATCGGTTGACCCTGACATACGGGAGCATTTCTTGAAAGAGCTCCCCGGCTTCCCCGACACCTGGTTTATTGACGCCAAAGCGGCCCAGGCGCCAGACATCTCGAACGAGCATAATCTTCCGGAAGCGGCTATGCAAGCGGCTTGTCTCCCTATGATCTCCTGGACCTCATCTGCCGAGGCGGCACTAAAGAGGCTGACCACAACCCAAGTCATTCAGCACTCGGCCGCGGTGAAGAAATGACAGGCCGAGGCCACGGTCGCCGTACCGGCACCTCCCCAGATGACCTACCCCGAAGCCCAGGCTCTCTTTCAGAAATAGATCATGGCTGACATAGATTCCGGGGTCAGCTATAACCTCTTCTGGCTCTTCCAACGTCTCGACCATGGTTTGCTTTCGCTGGAGGACTTTAGGGCCATTCTAGACGCGAAGATTTCAAAGTACGGTTTAGAGGCTGAGTTTGAGGGGCTCATTTGCGAGGTGGACGAGGAGGAAGCCGCGCTAATTCGCCATCGCGGGGGCTGGACTGATGACATGATCGTCGGTTTGCGCAACTTCGGCCCCAACCCCAGGGAGAAACATTTAACCGAAGGGGCGAAGTTGAATAGCTATGAGCCCTATCCCTTGGTGGTCGATGTTACAGATGAAGAAGATGTTCTCATCTTGGATCAAGGGTACGAGCTGGGCAATGACGCTGGCCTCTCAGGGGTGAACGAGGGAGATGGCGGTGAGGCTGGCACCGAGGCCGCCGATCCGCTGACTACCGATCATAGGGGTTGTTAGCTCGGAGACGGCCGATCCCGGGGCTTCAGAAGTGCCCGCCGATGCTCCTCCTAGCCCGAAGATTGACCAGTGAGCTCGGCATTGGTGGCCTTTACTGCTTTTAGTTTTTTTCAGCCTACGTGCCGTTTTGTTCGACCGCCTGTTGGTCTTTTTGCAGGATGATTTAACTCCGTTTGTTATTTGCGGCTAAAACTGGTGCCGATTTGGCCTTTTGAACTTCTCGATCCGTTTTGAATGAATGAATTTCTAGCTTATTTGTTTGTGTGTTTTCACGCTCTTTTACTTTGTTATCTTCACCGAACTTTTCCAAGTTCATTTGAAGTGTCGGGCTCTAAGGTGGAGTTCGATGCTTATTAATTGTGAGGCTGAGCTCATGATCGAGCTCGGCACTTGTTCATTACTTGGCCAAGCCTCGAGATCGGGCTCGACATTATTGATAATGGGGTCGAGCTCATGGTTGAGCTCGTCGTTTGTTCATTACTTGGCCGAGCCTCGAGATTGGGCTCGGCGCCATTAATTACGGGGGCGCATTACCTGTCTGGCCTACTTGTTGAGTCGGTTTGCGATTCGGCCCGGTCGAGCTACGCGCTTGAGCTCGTTTCTCATTTCTTACAGTTGGCAGCTTTGGCCTTACCGGGCTACGTTGCCGAGCCCGGCTCGTGTCAGCCAGGCCATCGTACTGGCCCGACCGACACATAATTATGTGGCAGCTTACCAGACCGGCCTTGTGTTCGGACCGGGGGTATTATTGGCCTGACCGGGCTTCCTTGTTGAGCCTGGCTAGTGTCGACCGGGCCATCGTACTGGTCCCAGCCAACACTTTGTTCCTTATGTTTAATTATGCCGCCTCGACTCGATCTACGCCTAGGTTTCCTATCTATTGGAAATAATAAGGAATTGCAATTTTCTTTTACAACGTTCGTTACTCCTTTACAAAGCACACTAAATTGATTACAGGGGGTCACCTTAAACCTATTGGTAGAGCTTCTTTAGTAATTCCGAATTCTAAGGGTATTGATAGGGGGTGCCGTCGAGGTGTTCGAGGCGGTAGGCCCCATGGGGGAGGACTTCGCTGATCTTGTACGGCCCCTACCACTTCGGCTTGAGGGGCCCAGGGTCAGGCGCTGTCACCCTTTTGAGTACCAAGTCGCCGACTTGATACGAGCGCGGTTTGACTTGGGAGTTGATATATCTCTCGCTTCGCCTCTTGTATGCCGCATTTTTGAGTTCGGCATGTGTTCGGTATTCGTCGATTAAGTCCAAATTGGCTCTTAGTGACTCGGAGTTGGATTCTTCCTCAAAGTTAATTACCCAGAATGTTGGGGCGTCGAGCTCGACTGGTATCATCGCCTCAGATCTGTATGCTAAGGAAAATGGCGTTTCGCCGATTGACGACCTGGTAGTGGTGCGATAGGCCCAAAGCACGCTCGGGAGTTCTTCCGGCCAGCCTCTTTTTGCAGCTTTAAGTCGAACCTTAAGGCCCTGCTTGATGATCTTGTTCACGGCTTCGACTTGACTGTTCGATTGTGAATGGTAAGGCGTCGATAAGAAGTGTTTGATGTTATGCTCCTCACAAAATGTTTCTAAATTTTTCCCTTCAAATTGTTTGCCGTTGTCGGCGATTATCGAGTTTGGGACCCCGAATGTGCATATGATGGACTTCCACAGGAAATCTATCGTCTTCTGCTCGGTTATGGTAGCGAGCGACTCGACCTCTGCCCATTTTGTGAAGTAATCAACGGCGACAACGGCATACTTCACTCCACCCTTTCCGGTGGGTAAGGGGCCGATTAGGTCGACGCCTTATATAGCGAATGGCCATGGGATGAAAATTGATTTCAGGGACTGAGACGGTTGGAGGACGTTAGGTGCGAAGGTCTGGCATTTCGTACATCTCCTGGCCAGATCCAGGGGCAGTCTAAGCTGCAGTAAGGCGCTGAGAAATATCACTAAAAGTCGTCTAGTTCCACTACTTCAGATACAGTAGAGGCGGCTTTAGGTGGGTGATCCATACGTACCGCACGTACCATACTATCCTTGGTACGATATCCACACGTACCTACCTGTTCACTTGTGCAACTCATATTTTTTTAGACTTGGCCAGTAATAACCCTGCCTGAGGACCTTATGGGCGAGGGCGTATCCTCCAGAGTGATTCCCGCACACTCCTTCGTGGATCTCTCTCAGTATGGACTCGGCACTCTTTTCATCAATGCATTTGAGTAGAGGTGCCGAGTAACCCCGTTTGAATAGTTCGCCGACCACGATCGTAAATCGAGCTGCCCGAGTACGGAGCAGTCTGGCCTCCTTCGGGTCAGACTTCAATGCACCGCTCTCGAGATACAACCGGATCGGGACCATCCAACCCGGGTCTTGCGCTTCTGCCCCCTGCCCGGCACTTAGCACAGAAGTGCCGAGCACGGACGACTGCTCCTTGTGCCCGACCTGAACATACTCGACACTTTCTACCCCGGCACTTGAAGCGAGGCGGGCCAGGGCATCGACCTGCAGGTTTTCTATCTGGGGGATATGCTCTATTCGAGTTCGAAGTTTGGCTAACTTCTTCTTTGCCAGCCCCAGGTAGGGGGCCAGCCTCGGCTCTTTAACTTCGAATTCTCCTTAGATTTGCTTAACCATCAACTTGGAGTCGGAATATATGATGAGGTCGGTTAAGCTCATGGCCTCTGCCAGGTCGAGTCCAGACAGCAATGACTCGTATTTGGCTTCGTTGTTGGTTGTCGGGAAGAGGTATTGGATAGAATGACAGGAGAGTTTATTCTGGGGATCTACGAGGACGACTCCTCCGCCTGCTCGTCCGGCAGTGGAAGATCCGTCCACGTACATCACCCATGGCTCCTCATTTTTTGCTTCTTCGACTCCCGACGTGAATTCCGCTATGAAGTCCAAGAGTACCTGCCCCTTTATTGCTCTTCGGGGTCGGTAATGGATGTCATACTGCCCCAGCTCCACCGCCCACTTCACCATCCGACCGGATGTGTCCGGTCGGTGTAGGATCTGTCTAATGGGGTAGGAGGTGAGGACAATGATTGAGTACTCCAAGAAATACAGCCCTTAACTTCCGGGCAGCAGTCACCAAAGCGAAGGCGAGTTTTTCCATATGTGTATAGTGCAGCTCGGCATCGTAGAGTGCCTTGCTCACGTAGTAGACCGGGTTTTGACAGGAGTCTTCCTCCCGGATCAGGGCGGCACTAACGACCACTTTGGATATTCCCAGGTAGAGATAGAGCATTTCTCCTGGGCGGGGCTTTTGCACTGTTGGAGCCCGACTGAGGGTCTCTTTGATTGCTTCTAGTGCCTTTTGGCAGTCGGGCGTCCGTTCAAACTTGTGATTCTTCTTGATTGCGTCAAAGAAGGGTTTTCACCGATCCGTTGACTTGGAAATGAACTGGCTTAACGCGGCGAGTTTGCCAGTTAGGCTCTGGACTCCCTTGATCGAAGTCGGTGGTCAGAGGTCTTGCACTACCTAGATCTTTTCGGGGTTTGCGTCGATGCCGCGCTGGCTAACAATGTAACCCAGGAATTTCCCTGATCGGACACCAAATGTACCTTTTTCGGGGTTTAATTTCATTAAATAATCACGCAAAATAGAAAACATTTTATTGAGATCGTTAACATGATCTGATGCGTACACGGACTTAACTAACATATCATCTACATACACTTCCATACTTACTCCTATCAAACTAGCGAACATCTTGTTAACAAGGCGTTGGTAGGTGGCCCCGTTGTTCTTCAGCCCAAACGGCATCATTGTGTAACAATACAGCTCGCGTGCCGAGTAGAAGGAGGTGTGTTCCTCGTCTTCGGGGTGCATGGGTATTTGGTTATATCCCGAGTACGCATCCATAAACCTCATCAACTCATGTCCCGGGTGGCGTCCACCATATAGTCGATGTGGGGTAAGGGGTAGCTGTCTTTAGGACACGCCTTGTTCAGATCGGAACAGTCTATGCACAAGCGCCACGCCCTGCTGCTTTTCTTTACGAGGACCGGGTTGGCGACCCAGGTCGGGTACCGGACCTCCTGGATGTACTCGTTGTCTTTCAACTTGATCACCTCCTCTTCGAGGGCCTGTTGTCGGTCAGGGCTGAGCTTTCTCCGTTTCTGTACCACTGGTTAGATCGTGGGGTCGACTTATAGTCTGTGGTAGGAAACCTTCGGGTGGATGCCGACCATGTCTTCGTGGGTCCACGTGAAAACATCCGTGTTTTCCCGAAGGAACTTGGTCAGTTTGGCTTTCAGCGGCTCCGGTAACCTGCTCCCAATCTGGAGTTGCTTTTGCCATGTTTCTTCATCGATGAAGATGATCTCAACTTCGTTCATCGGCTCGGCTCTTTTGGTCCCCCTCTTCTCTTCGTATTGCATGTGGGGGTCGAGCTCGTCTTCTTCCATGACCGGCTCTTTGTCGGCTCTCCGGCCCCTATCTTGGTCCAGGTCGGCCCTGGATCTTTCTTCTGCCTGGCCAGCGTCATCCTCAACTAAAGGGAGCGGACCTGTCTGATTATCCAGCATGCGGTTGTCCCTCGAATTGAGGTGAGCCTGCCCGGCTCTCAAACTTGGGTTGATCTCGGCTCCCGCACTGACTGGGCCAGCACTGACCGGGTCGGCATTTGTCTCGGACAAAGGAGGCGAACCTATCTGGTTTTCCAACATGCGATTGCCCCTCGTTCCGTCAGACGCCGGCTCGGTGCTTCCGTCGAGGATGGTCTGCGAATGTCCCTGAGCAGCTGTCATCTCGGCATCCGAGACGGGGTCAATGGTATTTATCTCCGAATGCGGAATGGTTAAAACGCACTCCCGTACTTCTCTCTGGTCTCCTGGGTGTGTTCCCTCCCCGTCTGAGGTCGGTAACTTGATGGAATAGTGAAAGATGGAGACAACACCTCTCAGTTTGTAAGGTGTCGTTCTGCCCAAGATGACATTGTATTCGCTTTGGTAGTCCACAATTTTGAAGGTCTCGAGGATGGTCCTCGTGGGCTGCCCTTTTTCTCCGAACCAGATCGGCAGCATGACCTGATCGACCGGGGTGGTTGTTTTTCCACTGAAGCCTTGGATCCGTTCTCGGCACGGTTGCACGTCTTTTGCATCTATCCCCATCTTCTTGAATGTGTTGTAGTAGAGAATGCTTGCGTAGGCCCCGGTGTCGACCATGATGCAATGGATCTTGATCGCCATGATCGGCGTCGTGATCACCAAAGCGTCGGAGTGGGGGTGGTCAAACAGAAAAGCATCCTCGTCGGTGAAGGAAATTTTGTTGGGAGTTGGCTCAGGTGCCGGTCTGCTCCCGGCGTGCATTACCCTCTGCCCGGCATAATAGGCCTGTCGGGCATAAGCCTTAGTCTGTCTCCTTGAAAGAAGGGGTTCACCTCGGCTAGTGTTCACGCGCTGTGGTGAGAGATAAACCTGATCGGCCCCTGACGGTGGGGACCGATTTCTTTTTCTGTCCCTGGAAGTGCCGGCCTCGTTTTGATGAGCCGGGCTGAGTGTTAATATCTCGTTGAGGCCGCCCTGTTGCGGCTTCTTCCTTCGAGGGTTCACGTCGGTGTCCTCCTCGCTGTCGAGGCTGTCCTCAAAATGGCCTCCCTTCCTCCTCTTCTAGCTGGAGTGGGTAAACTTAGTGATCTATGGGTCTTCAATTAGCTTGAGCAGCGCCGAGATCAAGTTGCAGCACTGGTCGGTATTATGTGTTGGTGTTATATACTTAAGCTTTGCTTTAGTGGATATTACACTTGTTATTCCTTGATGAATGGGAATTATGCTTGGTTAAATAAGTTCCACGTTCTGTTGTTTTGCATGTAGATAAGTGGGTCGTCATCGGGCGTACCGAAGATCACTATATCAGTTACTTGCGAAACAAGAAT